TGTGTAGGTTACGCACCGTAGGCTATTCGGTTATCTGTTCTGTCTATCTACTTTGGAACCATCTATGAGTAATAACTTTGTAAAGCTATATTTACGTTAAGTAATTTCTTATATGATATGATATGATATGATATGACAAGAAATGCTCTATTTTATGAAATGTTATATTCTGCCCATGAATGATGGTCCATGTTTCTGAAATGTATTTGTGGTATCCTTAGCAGAGGCCCTCGCCCAGGAGAAATAGTACTGTGGCTTATGGTCATGAGGCCCTCACCCGGGGGAATAATACCGTGGCCAGGCCCTCGCTCGGGGGAAATAATACCGTAGCCCATGTATGAGATATGTTACCCAATACCGAAGGTTCCATTATGGAACTTAATATGCTTGACTAAAGAGATATGTTAATGCTAATAGATATTCTACACATGAATTGAATTTGATTATGACTATGACTTGGTTTCTAATACGAACATGCCTATGGTTCTGTTTTGATAAGAGATTTGAAATCTAAATCTGTTATGATCATCATTCATTAAAACCTTTACTTTGTTATTATTCAATGTACACCAGCTCACGATAATTATTTATGTATGTAGGTAACCAGGCGCGTGATCAGGCCCAGAATTGAGGGCCTAAGTTATGTTTTGTCAAGCCATCCATCGTGTCTTCTGGGGAGGATCCCGTGTATAAAAGTCAAGTTTTGTGGACCATGTCAAGGGTTATTTTGTGTATCACGCTAAGAACATTTATGTTTTGTCTTGTTTTGTTTTTCTGTAATCTAGGCTAAGTCCCTTTTATAATGCTTGTACAGCATTGCCAGGCTTATGTGGGTGTGACATTATATGTGTATATTTTATAAGGGTTTAAATTTTTGTCCTATGTATGTCTGCACAGTTCTATGGACTATGAATATTTTGTATATTTGTTTCCGCAGCCCCTAGTTATATGTTATTTTATTAAGAGGCCTTTGGTAATCCAAGGATTACTGGCCGGTTACGACGCTAAACATATAGGGACGGGTTTAGGTCATGACATTGAGCAAACTCTCCGATGGGTTCTACTGCCTAACATGGTTCTAAATTACGGCATCGGATAACGTAACAATATCGATCGTAGAATATCAGTATCGGTAGTATTAGTCGGTATGTATCGAGAATCGGTGTTGCGACTGTGAAATTTCTTAAACATTTTCAACACTTTCTTTCCCATCGCAGTGAGTATTGGCCCGTCACGACTTGTGTAACGGTTACACCACGTTATGTAACAAAAACTGGCCAGTTCCCTGACAATTTTCATTCACACCTGTATACCAGTAGGCATTCGTAACAGGGTCATAATTTTTCGATATGTATCAGCCTGTATGTTACGTACCAACGATTTTTTAGAATTATGCCACTTATTGAGTATAATCACATATATTTTTTGTAATCGATTCAATGGTTGATTATCCTTTTATATAATAACTCATAAAATCTCTAATTAGTAAGTAATTATTATGTTTTCTCAGATTACCATTTCACATAGGTTGTGTGTTTGTTTAATAAAAAAATACTATAGTGAAAAATATGGTATACCATTATTTGAGTGTTCCGAGGTGATCATCATTTGATCTTTATTATTTGGTGGCAAATAGACTTTCACATTGAATGTATTTGTACCAAATTAGAGGTCACAATGGAAGACTTAATTTTTTTAAATAGAAAGTTGGTCGGAAGTTGAAAATTGGAAAATGATATTTGTTATTTATTAGTGGTATAATGTTTGGGAACTCTAATTGTGAGTCCCACATGATGATGTGATGTTTTGATTTGTGTATTATTATTATTTTTTATTTGTCACATCATTAGAGCTTATATTAAAACTTTAATTTTAGAGCTCTCTATCACTACCCTTATTAGTGTTTGAGTTAGAAAGATGATCGAAACCACTGCATGGTCAAAATCTACAAAATAAATCACTATTAGAGATCAACCAGTGATTGGCCGGGATTACTTAAACCACCAAGTTAGTCCACCACAATACAAAAATGAAAAAAAACAAGAGATTATATATTGGCCTTATTTGAGAAATTGATTATTTTGACTTTTTAATTATTTTAGTCTGATTAAAATAATTGTATTTGAGAAGTTAGTTATCTTCTTTTTTCTTTTTCTTTTTTGTAGCAGTTGATTTGATGGTTGTGAGCGAAAAAGTGAAATGATTTTGGATTGGATGTAACATTGTGTTTTATTGATTATTTTAACCTATTTTGTCTTTTAGTAAGTCATTTTAGTCTAACTTTCTTCCCAAACACAACCATTATTATATGATGGCATAGTTTCCATTTAAGGGTTTGTCTTTTCAATAATACTACGTACACAGAGGACCAAACACAAAAACTATTCATCCGGACAATCAACTAGATGACCAAGTGGTCGACTGAATGACAAAATGACAGCCGCAGTCGACTAGATGACAACTGCAGTTGACAAGATGATAATTGCAGTTGACAAACTCTGGCCAATCGACTACCCGGTCATCTAGTCAGTCATCCGGATAAACAATTACTGTATTTGGTTCTCTGTGTACGTAGTATTATTGTTTGTCTTTTATTTTATATGGTAGATGTTTGGCCCACTAAGTTGCGCAAATGCTAGCTAAGTTTGGCCCACTATGTAGACTAGAGCGTATTATTGAGCCTATGGGGCCTATCATAGGTCCCATTTTGAATATCCGAACCGTTTAATGTGTAGAGTTCGTCGAATAATTTTTGACAAAAATGTGTTTCAATCAAGGAGTTACGGATATCCGATCAATGTAATTTTTTGCAGGTATAAAGTATTCGATGAGCTCTATACATTGAACGATTTGAATTATCAAAACGAAACTCGTGATGAGCTCCACAAACCCAACAATAATGAACTGAAGAGAAGTTTCTTCCTAAGTTATTAGTAGAGTCACTTAGTTGGGCTGAGTCCATCATATTAATTTAGTTAAATTGAATCTGTGGCCTAAAGACTTGTGTAATTTTTTTTGCCTCTTTGAAGTTTGAGTTGTCAATTAGTTGATGCTTTCACTTAATAAATATTTACATATAAAATCTACCATATTTAAATTTGCATTTGTTATATAAACCTTATCACTTAACAATGCTATTGAATTGTATAAACTTTTCCGCCTAAAGCAACTTTTAGTTCTTATAGTTGTTTATAGTACCTTCAAGGGTTATTGTTTGTTAAAATAGTAACGTTAAAACTAAAATTTAATATATTATGATGATGTTGTTGTTCCAACGAAGGATGGGTCGGGCTAATCCATGCCTCTAACAGATCTGCTGGCCTTGAAGTCCACGGAGCATTCTTGCAAAAAGGTCCAAGATGGGAGGTAATCTGTCAGCGGACACTCCGACAATCGAGTTAAGATAGAGTAGATTGATTGTGTCGAAAGGGAAGAGGGTGATGAAAAACTTAACCTTTAACGTATATCGAAAACTTCCTTATATCCTTTACTTATCATTTCATTGTCCATTCCAAACTATCGTGTTGGCCGAAAGTCTATATTCTAACTCGCATTGTTCATGGTGAGTCTGTTTCCTCCGATGTGAAGGGGTTGTCGTATTTAATGCTGTGAGAGCCTCATTAATGGATGATACGTTGGTGCAATAACTTTGCATGATCTTTGTCCGCTTACGTGACTAGGCATCTGCTTGACAGGTGTTTGAATGTTATTGGTCCTGGCCTAGTGCTGATTTCTTAGAGTTATTAGGCTTTGATCATTGGGATGTGAACTGGGCCCTGATCCATGAGTTGGGCCCTCTAGCGTGCCCATCGGTATCATATTATAATGCCAAAATATCATAATTAACAATAATCTCGTCGACACTCATTCAAATTTATGTAATGTTTTTCGACCCGATGAAAGATTGGGATTACGCAAATATTAGCTCATCAAGCCAATCATTTATTCTATATTTTAACCCAAAAAAAAAATATATGTAAATATTATTTGTATGTCTCATCACAAGTGATATATAATTATGAAATAGTTTTGGCAATTATGAAATAATTTTGGCCAATTTTTCGTGTCAAATTCAACATTCCTATAATTTGAAATTAAGGTCAAGTTTGGCAACTCCAATACAATTTATCTTTTTATTTTTTTTTCATCATATCACCTCTTTATTTTTTTCACATCTTTTCGTAAAAAGACAAAAAATGTACTTATTTAGGTAATTCCAAACAACCCCTAAATTAGTAAAAATTGTTGACACATTTTAACTTTGGAGGGAGGATATTACACTATTAAAGTTGCTATTGTTATAATTATTAAAATTTATGTGATTAATAACGTTTATGCTTTTTTGTTTATATTTATAAAAATTTTATACATTAATTTTTGTTTATTTTTTAAAAAAAAAACATAGAGTACAAGCATGTTTGGTTTGAATAAAATGTTTACAATTTTTTTAAAAATATAAATTAAAAAAATATGTTTGTTGAGGTCTAAATATTTATATTTAATTTTTATTATTTATGACAATAAGATCATACACATTATAATTGAAAAAAAAATTAATTGAAAAAAAATTATTAGTTAAATTTTTAAATTTCTGTTTAAAAACTAAAGTAAACTTATTTTTTGAGTTTATATTTTTATGAAATAATCATTTATAAATTAAAAAAATTATGAAATAAATTTTTATAACAATTTTTTTAACTTTTATAAATATGAATTAAAAACTAAAAATAGAAGAATTACCGAACACATATGTCCACAATAAGATTTCCTTGGTAATATCATTTTTCTCATGATTACCTGAGTTTTATATATACACCGTCACGCGGTTACACAAACTTACAATCTGAATCTACACCGTCAAAATAAAATAAAAAATTCCATTCTGCTATTATCGACCAATTTAACAGCTTCGATTAAAAGCCCATGCGTGTCCATGATAACAGATGTAGTCCGCCGGTACACAGGAATAGCAAGTGAGATACAGAAAGAAATGGTGTATATCTTCGAAGAACACACGACATGAGTCTCCAAACAAGCCCTTAGATGGAGGAGATGCGCAACGACACAGGGAAACAACCGGCGGCTAGTTCCGCCGCCGCCGGTGCGCCGACAAAGATTCCCGATGCGGCGCCGGCGGTGGAGCCACCGTCTTCGCGGCGGAGAGGCGGTGGCCAGAAGAGAAAAGGCAGCGGTGGTGGTGGCAACGCATCGACCCCTTCGTCGTCGAAGCGCCAAGCTCGCGAGAAGCCCTCGGCGATCTCTCAAACTCCGATCCACAACGGTCCGTGCACCAGAGCTCGCCAGTCCCCGAGCACCACTGCCACGACGGCGTCTGGTCCGTCTGCGGCGGCAGTCGTGAAAAAGGAGGCGGAAGCGGAGGGAGTGGCGGCGGCGGAGGTGCCGCCGGGGTTTGGAGAAGAGGTGAAGGCGGCGGAGGAAACGAGTGTGATGGAAGAGGATTTGGAGGCGTTGGAGGCGAAGATTGAAGCTGAATATCAAGTTATTAGATTACGCGATGTAATGCATCATGTGGTTTCAATTCCTGCTGTGATTTCAAATGTCACTCGCAAACCCTAGTTTTTGTGCATTTTGTTGATTTTCTATTTATGAAATCGAATTTTTGCTTCGATAGATTTTTGATTTCTTGGAATTTGCTTGTTCGATGCAAAAAAATAAATAAATTAGGCGTTTATTCAAAACAAACAAACAGAACACCCTTTCTTTCTTAGAAGCTTGTTAGTTTCTGGAATTCTTCAAAAAGTAGAGAAATTTTTAGGGTTTCGATACAAAAATTCAGAAAATTCTTCTTTGCAGGTTGGTTTTCGTGGACAAAAGTTCATCCCTTGGAGGAACGAACATTGCCTTCGTTCTTCAATGGCAAGTCGAAGAGTAGGACTCCTGAAATATACATGGAGATAAGGAACTGGATTATGCGAAAATTTCATGAAAACCCCAATACACAGATCGAATTGAAAGTTTTGTCGGAGCTTTCGGTTGGGGAATTGGATGCCAGGCAAGAGGTGATGGAGTTTTTGGACCATTGGGGTTTAATCAATTACCACCCATTTCCAGAGAGTGATCCGGCCATGGCGAACGCTAATGGTGGAGATGGGTTACCAAAGATAAATTCTTTGGTTGAAAAGCTGTATCGGTTTGAAACAGAACAATTGTGTGCTCCAGAGGTTTCTAGAACTAATGTGATAACACCAGCTGTGCCATCTGGTTTGTTCCCGGAGTCTGCTGTTGCTGAAGAGTTGGTGAGGCAGGAAGGACCGTCTGTCGAATACCATTGCAATTCTTGCTCAGCTGATTGTTCTCGCACGCGCTACCATTGTCAGAAGCAGGTTTGTTGTTTCCTAGAAGTTTGTTATTTAATGTTGGATTATATGAAGCAAATATTAGAAATAAATTTGAAAGTTAGTGGAAACATAGAAAAACGTCAAAAAGGACCGTAAGAAGTTTGGAAACTTGAGTAGAATCTTGAAATTAGAAGATTCTCTTCTCTCTGATTGGTCCTTGAGAAAATTTATGAAGGAACATTAAATTCTAAATTCTAAATGTGCATTTATGGATGGACTTGTCTTGCTAATTCCATTTTTTTGTTTGTTTAATTTTGACTAAAACCTTTGTGGAATAGACTATATGTATAAATGAAGAAAATTTAGGAAATTATAACATTTAAGGTATGCACTATGAATTCTTCTGCGGCTTCAGCTATCAACAAGGACTGACCTGGCATTCTTGGAGTTTTGGAACTCGTTAATACCAAAAAGGTTCATGAGTTATTCACAAGCAGATAATTTGTAACGTTTGGATGGGGGTGGTTAGAACTAAGATCCTGCTTCTTATTAAGGACTTCATGTTTGGCTGTATATGCAATCCTGTAACCGTCCTACTAATTTCTTTTCATCGAGATGAATATGCAATTGTATGAAATTTGTATAGAGATGTGAATTAATTTTACCAAGAAAAAGATAATTACTGATCATGTCAAAAGTAACAAACTGTACACGTTAGGCTGAGTCTACTTAAGAGAATGAACAAATAAGAACCAATTAAAAAGGGGAAAAACTCAACCATTGAATATTTTTCAAAAGAGAAGCATCTTCCATGGCTGCTTAACTTTAGTGGTTTGTAGTTGACCAACTTCTCTCTTTGCGTGCAAGTATTCTTGCATATTTCTTCTTTGCTTTTCATTTACTTTTTAAAATTTTTATAACTAGCAAGCATCCTTTCAAAAAAAGAAAAAAAGGAAAAGGCTGGCTGCCTAAGAAGCACAAACACTTCTAAGAAGATAGCGTGTCTATTTTAGGCACTGAAACTCCTCAGATACTCTTAAACATGTGTCCTATACTATTTTTTATGTGTCCATAATTAAAAATAAAAATCTTAATTTTGGATACATGTCCGACACTCATTTTGCGATGTGTCCATCACTTGTTGGTCATGTCTATTCCTAAAATATAAATATGAGACCAACACTTCTTGGACACTTGCTAAGGTATGATTTTCAAAGTTTGAAAGTTTGACATAAATATATAAATATTCAATTTTTTATATATTATGCACATAATATTATATATTCTTAGATAATATAAATTATATAATATCAATATATAATTATTTGTGGCTTGTCCGAATTGTGTCTGTGTCCTATTTTTTTGGAATTTGTCGTGTTGTGTCTGTGTCTGTGTCTATGCTTCATTATTGGCCGTAGTCCACACTACACTTGTATTACGATCAATACGAGAGTGGGAATTGATCGTCTTAATTAAGTGCTATGAAGCACGGATACTTCAAATGGGAAGACGTATCCGTATCGGATACCGATACTCCTTGGATACTTATGGATACGTATCAGATACTTATTAAAAGTATCGGATACTTCTTAATTAATTTTTTATTAATTTTGAAGTATCGGATACTTAGTTTTGAAGTATCGGATGCTCTAAGTCACATATTATCGGATACTTCTTAATTAATTTTGAAGTATCAAATGCTCCAAGTCACATATCATTCCTTTTACGAAATTAGAATTGTATCATTTCTTGCATAACATTATAATATAATATAATTGCAAGGATAAATAGAATATTTTTATAATACTTTGCTTAGTTTTTTTTATAAAAATAACATAGTAAGCTAAAGTAATAGAATTCATCAAATTGACATATCTTCATTGTATCATGCATGTACCCTATAACTATATAGAAGTAAGGATTAATAAGATGATATAACAATAGTAAAATTAAATATCAATAAATAAATAAGCAAATAAACTTGCATAGAATATTTTTGACTAGTGCAAAAGAAAAAAGCATAGGGTCAAGTTGTGGATTATTTTGATATTATAATATCAACATATTAGGCTTGATATTGAAATGAAATATTTCCAAGACCTATTGAAAATCTAAAAACTAAACTAGCTACTGCCTTAAATTAATACCTAATTCTTAAAGATTAGTATTTTGCATCATAAAATTACTGTGGTTTCTCAACATTCTTGAGCTTATGTGTAACTCACTACTAATAATTTTTTTATTTTTTATTTTTTACAAACGTATCCTAGCCGTACCCGTATCCTGCTTTTTTAGGTTTTGCTGTATCGCCGTATCCGTATCGTATCATATTCGTACCTCGTATCCGTATCCGTGCTTTCTAGATTAAGTGATATGGATTCTGTGAATGTGGTTTGTTGTGACAGGTATGGGAAACTATATATTAATTTTCTAATCTCTTTCTTTTTACCTTATGAAAATTCATTGTCAATGTGTTTTTTGTCATATCGTGTTTGAGCTTAATTGAATTTCATGGTTTTCATTTTGTTAAAAGTCATAATTGATTTTTCTTTTTAATTGGTAATGACACTGGGGAGGTATATGTAATTCTATTTCCTGTTTGCGCTATTTTGAATTTCATCCAATTTTGATGTCAGACTTGAATATAGAATGGAATTGGTGGTGTCATAAGTGTGTAAAAGGATTAAAGAAATTGATGGCTTAAAATGGAAAACAAATGATTTTAACTATTATCCTTCACCCTTTGGCTTTTATTGTGTGATATGTCGTGACGTTTTGTGATTTTCTAACCTTATTAACTTGTCATATCTCATATGTCAAAATCTCTTGCAATGTAGTGCTATATGATTCAATATTTTATTCCATGATCATAGCAAAGTTCTTGAACAAACTGTATATCTATTAACCTCCTTTGAAGGCACTTTCGTAAACTCATTAAATTATTTACTTCTTGTTTTTTCTACATTTCATGTTCCTTCACCTCCAAGCTTTTATTTTATTAATTTATTGTATGTTTGTATGTATGTATTTGGCTCTTCTTTTCCCAGATATTGACATGTTTTGAAGCTTTAAAAATTCCATATATGTTTCTCAAGTACGTCTTCTAATGACTGAATTGTGACTTGGGAGTTGTGGTTTGCTTGGGTTGAACTATTGCTCTAGCTAAAGTAGACTTCAGAAATTCGCAAGTCTAATTAAACATTGTGGACCCTATCTAAAAAAAAATTAAACATTGTGGATTGAAGTGTAACCAAAAATGAAATTTAAACCTTTGCTTCTGGAGCAAGGAGGGTCTATCAATTTTTGCAAGGCAAAATAGAATCCATATGCTGTCAAAGAATGGATATGAATAAGGTGGCCCATTGCTTCCATATCCGTTTTGCACATGTCATCTGAAACAATATCCAAGTGCTGGGCTTTGCTGTGATAGTTCATTGATTTTTATTGCTTTGCCTTAGTTTCTTCTTGAAAGTTGAAAGGTATTTTGTCTGCTGATTCTGTTCTTGTTGCACAGGCAGATTATGATTTATGTACTGAATGCTTCAATAATGGGAAGCTTGACTCTGGATTGTCCCCGACGGATTTCATTCTCATGGAGCCTGCTGAGGCTGCTGGTGTAAGTGGTGGGAAGTGGACAGATCAGGAGACCCTTCTCCTCCTTGAAGCATTGGAACTTTATAATGAGAACTGGAATGAGATTGCTGAGCATGTTGCTACAAAAACAAAAGCTCAATGTATTTTGCATTTTGTTCAAATGCCAATTGAGGATACTTTTATGGACTGTGATGATGAAAAGGATGCTAGTGTCAAAGAAAATGCAGATACAGCTATGGCTGATAATGATTCTTCTACACCTAAAGAAACACCTGAAATACCAGAGAGTAGGACTGGTACAGATGAAAATCAACCTCAGTCTTCCCCAATGGAAATTCCAAAGCCAGAAGATGCCAGTGAACTGAAAGCTGTTCAGAAAGCTGATGAAAACTTTGCACTGAAGGCACTGAAGGAAGCATTTGAAGCTGTGGGTTCTTTTCCTATGGCTGGAGGCCAGTTTTCGTTTGCTGAAGCTGGAAATCCCGTCATGGCATTGGTTAGTCGGGGCTTATATGCTGAAAAATGAATAAAATTGATTTAATGAAATGGCACCCTGAACTTACTAGAATGAACTAAAATTCTTGGTATGGAACAATGCAATGATTTTAGTCTGTGCTGATGTTTAAAGTCCCAACACGTACTAGATAATGTGTCTTCTACACCTTTTGTATGAGTTCCTATAGCAGGTTCCATATAACATAAAACAATTCCATGGTTTTATTTTTAACTTGACATTTAAAATAGCCTAATGCAAATTCTCATAGCGAGTCTTGTTACCTTTGGAGTTTATAAATATATATTTTAAAGATGGAATTGAATATTATTCGAATTTGCATCCAAGTTTGATGTGATGCATGCTGATGTTCTCTTCCACAGGCAGCATTCCTGGTAAGAGTGGTGGAACCCAATAAGGCTACTGCCTTGGTCCGTAGTTCTTTAAAATCCATTTCAGGCAACTCTTCCAGCATGCAGCTGGCTGCAAGGCACAGTTTTCTTCTGGAAGATCCGCCAGGTGACAAGAAGAAATCAGCTGATTCTGAGAGGTTTGTAAGCTTGTTTGTAGCTTTAATTTGAAAAAGCCTAAAGTATTATGTCTGACGTTAACATATAAGCTATGCAGAGCTGTTGCTGAAACAATTGAGCGGGATGCTCAGAAGAATGAGAAGCAGAATGAGGAAAATGGGAAAGAGGAAAAGTCTAATTCTGTATTGGACGGTGGTGATTTACCAAATGATCACAAGAGTGAAAAAGACAAAGTTTCGGCTAGAGAAGAGAAGGAACTACCGATTTCTCATGATGACAGATGCACTGAACAGTCAAATAAATCAGATAACCCTGATCTTCCAAAAGATCTAGAGATTGGAGATGTAAAAGAATCAGATGATTTAACACCCAAAGCAGATATTCGTACGAGTTCTGGAAAGGAGCCGGGTGGTCAAACTCGTGAGGAAACACTCATTTCTTTGAATGAATCGGATAACCCAGACATTCCTAAAGACATGGCGGCAAAATCTGCAAAGGAATCAGATGACTCGACACCCAAAGAAGAGATTCCTTCAGGTTCTGCAAAGGAGCCAGGTGATGGAGCTTCGGAAGAAGGGGCTTCTCAATCTACAGAGGCAGCAAAGGATGCTGTTGTGTTTCCTGATTCTGTTCCCTCAAAAAAGAAACAGACTGAGCAGCTGATCAAGACAAATTCAACTACTGAAAATGAAAGAAACACAGGTTCTACTTTTGGAAGTTGGTTGTGGATTTCAAAGTATAATTCAGTTATTTGGTTGCAATTTGGTAATATAGTTTAAATAGTGAATCTATGGACATTTGAGGCAGACATTTGGGAATCACTGACATCAAACCTAGAGAATAAATATTCTTGTGGGAATGGGTGGGGAAGAAGCATTGTCGTGTCTTATAGAGAAATATAAGCCTATTTTGCTAAACAGTTTTTATTAATTTTTTTTTAAAGGAACAGATTCGGGCCATGATTTTTGAATTTTTTGATTATAGGCAACAGACTGATAAAAAATTGGCTGGAGTTTGTCACCATTATTTTGGAATTGTTTTCGTGGTCAGGAATGTAGTAGAATAGAATTGTTAATTGGCAAGAAAACCTGCTCTTTTTTTATTGGATTTCCCCTTTTGTTTGCTTCATGCAGGTGAGGAAGAAACAAAAGACTGTAATAATGAGAAACAAGACACTAAAAAGACCAAAGATTACCACAACATTGATAAGATGAAGCGTGCTGCTGTTACTGCAATCTCTGCTGCAGCAGTGAAAGCAAAGCTTCTTGCGGACCAGGAAGAAGATCAAATTCGACAGCTTGCGACATTGTTGATTGACAAACAGGTATTGTCATTGTCAATCAGGCTTTCATTTGTGTTGTCCTTTTTTATAGGGTAAATTACACTGATTACCCCTGAAGTTTGAAGAAAATACATTGAACCCCACAAGTTTGGCATAATTGCACCGACCTCCCTTTAAAGAAGCCTAAAGTGATTGAAACTAATGCAGATGGTGTGTAGATACAAGGATAAACAAGGTAAATTTTGCATTAAGTGTAAAAAGATGAAACCTCGTTTTTCTTTTCATATGACTAATGAATTATTGATTAAAATAAATAAATAAATAAAGAGAGAGAGCTAAGGGAGCTTAGTGTTATGTGAATTATAAACTTTGGGGAGGTCAATGTAATTATGCCAAACTTGTGGGGCTCAATGTTTTTTCTTTAAACCTCAATGTAGGTCTATGCAATTTACCCTTTTTTATACAAGTAAAGAACCTATTAAAAAAAGTGAAAGTGCCACAAAAGTAACTTTTTTCCACAAAAAAACAAGAACAGTCCCTTTCGGGCAAAAATTTGAATTATCAATATTTTCAAAAGAGCTTATGTTCCTCTCATTCATGTAGTCTATTTTTTAGTTGAGAAAGTTATATATTTTTGGAGTTTTCATTAATTGCAGTTACACAAGTTGGAAACTAAATTAGCTTTCTTTACTGAGATGGAAAGTGTGGTAATGAGGGTTAGGGAGCAAATGGAAAGGTCAAAGCAGAGGCTTTACCAAGAGCGAGCACAGATAATTGCAACCCGGCTTGGCTTACCAGCTTCATCATCTGGTAGACCCATGCAACAACAATCATTACCTATCAATAGAGTTGCGATGGGTTATGCAAATTCAGCAACAAAGCCACCGATGAGCATGACCTCTCAAAGGCCACCAGCTTCGAGATCTATGATGACATTGGCTCCTCCTACTTCAAAAGCATTTGTATCTACTACAGCAGCAGGAAATCTTGTTAAGCCTACCAACCAGGACAAATTTTCTTCGGTAGTAACAAAGTAAAACCGTAACTCATCGTGCAGATACAACTTCATTCATGCTTACTGGTTTATCTCAACCAATTTTTACCAGAGTGAGTATATCGTTATTTATGTAGTTGTAAATTGCCACCATCTTGATGTGTTGTTTGGGAAACTTGAAATTCAGCCTGTAGAATTTGGTCCAAAATTGCTTGAAATGTAATTTTTGAACATAGAGCTGAGGACTAGGCATTGAAAATTTTCTGAACATGCCGGTTTGCTATGTAGGAATTTAAAGGTTTTTATATTAGTCTAGATTTTTTTTGTTTTTATTTTTGAAGTTGATTTCTTAGTGACGATTTTGAACTGAGTTGATAAAACCGTGAGAAAATTGGATGTTATTGCACCACTACTCATTGCAACTTCTGATATATATATATATATATATATTATTTTTTTGGATAGTTGAAAGAGTCTTTCCAACCATCTTATCCATAGGTGGTAAACGGTATATATATGGGGAAAGCATCCAATTTTAATCAAACAAGCTCTCATTCATGTTGCACTCTTGGGTTCCTATTCATGTTGCATTCTGATGGTTGCATTTATTTATTTATTTTGTTTTGTTTTTTCTATATTTTGTGTTGTGGCATGATTTGATTATTGTGTGCTTAACTAAGGAATATTTGATATTCTTAAATTGAATTACTGGGTTTTGTTTTACATGGTATATGAACTAATTGAGGGGGGAAAAGTGTTATTTGCTTTTAGCAGCTAGTGTGGTAACAAACCACAAAGTTGTCATTCTGGAACATTGTTTTCTTCGAATGTAAGGGACTGCAGTTTTGAGTATTCATGTTGTCCGTCAAGGTCCCTTGAGAGCTGCTCGTATCCACTGCGACGTATACTTCTGTAATTATTTTTGTTTTTCTTTTCTGAGCGATTGGATCTTATAAGTTTGCACTCTCTGAGTCCCAATTTTTTTGCAGTGCCTTCATCTTCTTCTTTTTATTTTTTTTATCTCTATATTCTCTTTTTGGTTATTTATTTTTAAATTTTTTAGCAAATTTTTTTATAGGTATATAACAATAATTCTAGGAACCATGAAATATTACTCATAATTCTATCATGAGATTAAAATGTACGGTGTAGATTTGAACTTGGTGTGTTTGTGAGTCGTAAATAGAATAAATCTTGCCTTCATGTTTGAATTCTGAGTAAAATTGTGAGTACTTTTTTTCCTCCATGTGAAAGTAGCATGCTAGAGTTATTAATTAAACCCATGCAGTTTCGAAACAAAATATTTTAGTAGAAGTTGTTTTCATTTATTTTTTAGCAAAATTACCGTTCAGAGTTGGTTTTCAAAAACTATTAGTGGAAAACATTATGAATTTAAATATTAATATTTATAATGTTTAACATTTTGTTGTAAATATTGTTTTTTAAAATCACTGTTGCGTAATTCCTCGTTTTTTTAAACTCATGTTGTTGAGACAAGCCGTATCTGTATCCATACAGATCATGTTACTATCTATCTATTGTGACTATTGTATCTATCTATCTACATTGCTTGTACTTATCTGATATGTGTATATAAATATACAATGGACACTCCACATATTGTGTGTGTGAGTTTTGCTACAGCAACATATAAGTCTCAACTTGGTATAAGATACTGAAGTGAACCAACCACCGTCCGATACAGTGTTGTCTATCACTATTTGTCATGCTTGTCAGCTTGGCAAGTCCTCTCATCTTTCTTTACATTCTTCCTCTACTCGAAGTGTTGCTCCTTTAGATTTGGTTTTTAGCGATGTATGGGTTCCTTTCCCAATTCTTGTCACAAGTATTTTGTAATTTTTTTCAAGTCATGGTTGAACGACGCAAAATAAAAATCATTCAAACTGACGGGGGTGGTGAATTTTGAAAATTAACATCCTATTTTCAAAATTTGGGGATCATTCATCTGATTGCCTTGTCCACATACACATGAGCAAAATGGCTCAGTTGAACGGCGCCATTGCCACATTGTTGAAACCAGTCTTGCCCTTCTTGCTCATGCCTCTGTTTCTCATGTATTTTGGCATTTTGCTTTCCAAACGGTGGTTTACCTTATTAAGTGCATGCCTTCAAAAGTTATTCAAAATGTTTCTCCCTTATAGCGTCTTTTACATAGACCACAGGATTATAAATTTTTGAAACTGTTTGGGTGTCTTTGTTTTCCGTTTTTTCGTCCTAATAACAAACAAAAAATTTCTTTTCAGTCTACGCCATGTGTTTTCTTGGGTTACAGTCCATCTCATCTTAGGTATCGTTGTCTTAACCCGCTAACCGGTCGTATTTACATTGCTCGTCATGTCCATTTTGACGAATACAGACTCCTATTTTCGGGTCCCTCTGTTCTTGGTTATCCGCCAAATGCCTCACTTGTACCCAACTCCAACCCCTAGGCTTCATTTCCCCTCCATGTCTCCCCTTCCATTTTTCCTTCTTCTACGCCACTTGGGTCCTCTATACAACTTGTTTTGGCCACACCACATGTTGGACATAGTTTAATATAGGTATATTTTTTAGCTCAATTTGAGTGGGTCCTAAATGTCTTTTGAGGTGGGTCCGAAGAGGTGAAGTGTTCCTTGCCGCGTGGCAAGTTTTACAGTGAAGACGGAACGTCAAAACCATTTATGAGTAAATGGGAAGTTAATGTCGTTTTCGGGTCTAACATTAATTTTTTAGATAAAATTCATTTGAATTTTTCAATAAAAAATTATTGTAGGAATTTAATTTAATTCTAAATTCAAATTTTAGATTCTTAAGTAGTTTCCTAAAGTTTGTAATTGTGAGAATTTAATTTAATTTTGAATTCAAATTACGGTTTCCTAAAAAAAAAAAAAAATTAAACTATTCAAAATAGTTTAATAAATCTATTCCAATAGTTTAATGTTATTTCACAACAGTTGCTTTGACTTTGGATCAACAACACTTTTCAATTGTTTAAAATTTTGGTTTTTCCAACGGTCAGAATTGTTTTGAAATTAAACTGTAGCATCTGTTCATTCTTTTTAGGAACCTGTTCGGACCACAGGTTTTGCCTATAAATAGAGCCTTATTCCAGCAGTCTTAAGATTTGGAAAAAAACGAATTTCCTATCCGGAAATATCAGTCTATTTTTTTTGTCTCTTTGCTGTCCATTCTGTTCTACTGCATTTATTCTTCATTTATTAGTTTTAGAATAATATTAAGAGAATATAGAACACAAGGTTGGGTTCGTCGTAAAAATTTGTATGGAGTACTACTACAAGTTTTTAAAGATCATTGTATCCTGGGAGATAGACGCCACCCAACCGTAAGCACCGTAGCGGGGCGAATCTGTCTTAAGGATAGAGTGTCACACACTCGACTTGGTCTTGTAATTTTTATTTGGTTCGACAAAATAAATCCGGTATGTTATTTATTTATTTTATTTGAATTTATTTCTAGTTATTTTATTTACACGGAAGATTGTTCCTACAATCTTAAGACAGACTCGAATTATTCTGTTTACAGAATTTTTCGTTTGTTTCTCTTTTTTCATTCTTCGTAAATAATTTCGGAAGAAAATTATTTTCTATGGATTTACAAAATAATATTCTGGTTGGAAAAACAAATAGTGATAATATACTATTTGACAGATAGTAGTAATATACTGTCTCTTTTCTTTGACAACAACTAGTAGTACGATACTGGTGTCTTAACAATTCAGAATATATTTTTGTGGAATTTTTTCAGAAATTAATTTTGTGTTTTAGAAATTATTTTCTGAGTTTTCATTACTTAAAATTCTGTTTTAGTATTTTAATTATTGAAGTGCTACAGAATTTAATTTCCTGTGTGGAATTAATTTGGTTGAATAAAATTTTATTTTATTTCCAAATTAATTGGAAAATAAAAGTTACATTCTTGTTTCTTTTATTTTTACAGAATTTAATTCTGTGCATTTGGTTTAATTTTCTGTGTAGTGTAAATTCTAGTTATAATTTTGTTTTATAAATTAGAATTGATGGCTACTGAAACAAATGCCCAAACAAGTACTACTGTGGTGGCTGCAATTGCACCAACCTCCTCTCCTGTGATGACAGTACCAATAAATTATGGAGCGAAGCCAGAGAAGTTCTCAAGAACTGACTTTAAAATATGGCAACAAAAAATGTTGTTCTATCTTACAACTCTGAACCTGGCTCGTTTCCTCCGTGAAGATGCTCCTATCCTGAAAGAGGATGAAACCGACCGGCAAGTGGTTGCTGCGGTTGATGCTTGGAAACATGTCGATTTCCTTTGCCGGAACTACATCTTGAACGGACTTGACAACACATTATACAACGTCTACAGTCCAATCAAGACAGCAAAGGAACTTTGGGAATCGTTGGAGAAAAAGTACAAAACGGAAGATGCCGGCTCAAAGAAATTTGTGGTTGGTAGATTCTTGGATTTTGTAATGGTTGATTCAAAAACTGTGAACAGCCAAGCTCAAGATTTCCAACTCATTCTGCATGACATTCACGCAGAAGGCATGTCACTCAGTGAATCCTTCCAAGTTGCAGACTTAATTGAAAAATTACCAAAAGACTGGAAGGAATTCAAGAACTACCTCAAACACAAGCGCAAAGAAATTTCTATGGACGAATTAATTATGCGTTTGAGAATTGAGGAGGACAACCGCAATTCTGAAAAACGGGCTGGTAAGCATCCTATGGAGTCTGAGGCAAATGTGGTGGAACATGCTTCAAAAACCAAGAAACGAAAGACTTCTGGAGAAAGTTCATCACAAGGCTCTAAAGGGGAGGATAATAAAAAGTACAAGTTTAATGACAAATGTTACATTGTGACAAAGAGGGACATCGGGCCAAAGATTGCCGTAGCAAAGGCAAAAGCAAAAGAAGAACAAGCAAGAAGCCTGCTCAAGCCCATATGACCGAAGTGGACAATATTTCCAATGGTGTCGAAGACATCAATCTTTCTGCAGTTGTTTCCGAGGCAAATCTTGTCGAAAATCCTAAAGAATAGTGGGTGGACACTGGTGCTACTCGCCATATTTGTTCCAACAAAAAGATGTTCATATCTTATTCTATAGTGAACAATGGTGAACAACTCTTTATGGGCAACTCCTCAACTTCCAAAGTTGAAGGACAAGGAAAGATTGTACTCAAGATGACATCTGGAAAGGAACTCACTCTCGACAATGTGCTGCATGTACTGGACATTCACAAGAATTTTGTTTCCGGATCTTTGTTGAATAAGAATGGGTTTAGGTTAGTATTTGAGAGTGATAAATTTGTACTTACTAAGAATGAGATGTATGTAGGAAAAAGTTACATGTCTGATGGCCTTTTCAAGTTAGATGTAATGACTGTTGTACCCTCAATTATTAATAAT